CACTTTGAAGAGGGGTAGAAATGCTGAAGACCAAGGCAGGCCGCGCTGTGCGTGCTCCCCTGCATCTGGCTTTGCTGTCCGAGTGATGGGTGGGCACCCTTCTGGGGCTGACGCTTCGCAGGTTATTTTCAGGCATTCGAAACCTGATCCCTTCTTGGGACCTACATACCTGCCATACTGGTTGTAACAACTTTTCCAGCGTCAGAGTTGCCCTGCTCCTTACCTGACTTAATAAAAGCCTGAATCCATGCTATGAAAGCATCGTAAAGTCTTTGTTTTGGGTTGGCTTCTGGAAGTCAGGGATAAGTCAGGACAGGATGAATGGCTGGTGTTTGGACTTTCTTGGTGTGTGATGTCACTGTATCATCTACATGAGACTTTTATTGTGCACCATGCGGTCTCATTCACACAATTTTACGGGGAACCAGGCAGCGTTGTCCTGAATTAGTCACCCTGCTGCGTTTTCCCGCCACCATTGCCCTTGATGGTGCCAGGAGTCCTGCCTGCATGCTTGTGTGGCATCAGGTGTGAGGAGCCCTTTCACAAGTTCCCTGTTACAAATTATGCTTTTCATTACATGCCTGTGTTATGGAAGGGTTTGCTACTAGCATAAGGGAGCTAATACACCAGAGCAAACCATCACTGGTAAAAATGCCACTAACAGGGCATCCGTTCTTGTGGAGATCACCCAAGCCAGCTTCTCAGCTTAGATCTCATGGGAAACAAGGGCTTAACAATGGTTCAGTGCCAGAAGTCTTGAATTAAGGAACATGAGAGCGAGGGAGGAGAGAGCCTGGATATAGCCTATTCTGGGACAGTTGCAGCTGAAGCAAGACAGTGCCTGTTTGCACTGGTGCTGGGAGGGCGCTGAGCCCCATCCAGTGTTGACTATTGAACTAAGTTTATGGAGATGTTAAACGACTGAAGTTAATAGGGAAAAAAAAACTTACCAAAGCTATTCTTGCTTTATGCATGATCAATTACTTCATGGCATGACCATCTTGCTGTAAGCATGGCTGTGTCCTAAAAAAAGGAAAGGAAGAAAAAGAAGGCAAAAGCCAAAGCCACCATCATAAAAAGTTGAATTCTGTGACTTGTCTGCAGTGTGCAAGCTAATCAGATTTGCACAGTTTTCTCTTACTTTGCATAATTCTGTATTTTGATTTTTATTTATTTATTTGCTTCATACATAATTCACCCGTTCTGCTAGGCAGGGGGAGGGCATGAATCCACACAGGGACTGGACCTTGTCCCCTCCAAAGATGGCCAGAAGTCCTATGCAGCAACTTAGTTCGCTTTTAATAATTTACCAGATTACCACATACATTCAGCTTATCTTCACAATAAGGGCTAAAAGAGTACTCCCCCCCCCCTTGTCTTTTTCTCTCTTCCCTTTTTTATTCTATGGTCCTCCTGGATCTCTGCAGTATTGTGGGATACAGTGCACCCTGCCCATTGGAGGCCAGTCCTCCATGCACTGGTGACTTACCTGTTTGGTTTATTGCAATGCTGTATTGCAGTGTGGGGCGTCCTTTGAAGATTGTCCCGAAGCTGGTACAGATGGTTGTGAGATGTGAGCATATCCCGCCTATTTTGAAATCTCTGTACTGGCTGCCAGTGTGCTGCAGGCCAGATTCAAGGTGTTCATCAGCACCGATGTTCAAAGCCCTTTTGGATGGCGGCATCCCAACTGTGGAAATCCATTCCAGAAGAGATTTGGCTGTTGTTGTTTAGGAGCTGGTTAAAGGCTTATGTGCGCAGGCTTTCTTCAGAGATTGTTTTTTCGTGTTACTGTATTTTACTCTGTGTCTGAGTTTTTGCAGTTAGATTTTTTAATGTTTATGTGGTATACTTTCTAGGCTAGTAGCAGCCCTGGGCTGTATGTGTGGAAGGGTATAAGTCAACTAAGCAAATGGCACAGGACCTGAGTACTTGAGGGATACTTCCCAGTACTGACCAATCGGAGATTTAAGATCTGCCAGGGAAGCTTTGCTTATGAGGCCCTTGCAGAACATGGCCTGTACGGCTGTCATTCGTTGCAAGGCCTTCTCGGTGGTGGCACGCTGGAACTCAATAAGGATTCAGCTTCCCTTGCAGTGCTGTTATTTAGAACAGTTTTATTTGTGCAAGCTTTGGGGGTGTAAGTGAGCCCTGCATTTTGTCTTTCTATTTATCAAGCTGACTGTTTTCTTGGATTCAGTATATGTGTGATGCAGGAGTTACATTTTTAATTATATTGGGGTGTGTGTGTGTGTGTGTTTATGGCAGTTATCCACTGCTTTTATAAGCTCAGAGCCTGCTTTGTGGAGCTGCCTTGACATAAAGGTGGTCTGTGGCAGGGAAGAGCAGCTCTGCCCAGTTGCTCAGGTAACAAAGCAAGATTGATTGAGAAGCAGTCCTCAGCCAGCGTGCTACCAGGTGTGCTGGCACACAGTTCGGATCCTTGTCCGGCACCCCCTCAGCTCTCCGATTAAAGAACTCCCTGTCAAGTCACCTAACTTACCGGTGCATGTTCACTTAGCTGTGTGTGGTTTTTAATAAGCATGTGGGGTTCTCCTGAAACTTCTTGAGACTTCTGTTTTTGTAATGAAAATTTGAAGCCAGTAGAGGCTGGGGTGGGAATTTATTTGGTGCATTTATAGCCCATCTGATTTTCTTTCAAGGAACTCAAAGCTTCCATATTTTGTCTCTTCCTCTCAATCTTCTCCTCACAACAGCGACCCTGTGAGGAACTTGGGCTGAGAATGTGTGACTGGCCCAAAGTCAAAGCTCCGTGGCTGAGCGGGGACTCGAACCCAGATCACCTGAGTCCCAGCCCCACGCTCTTAACCACTGCACCACCCTGGAATGAACAGTTTGACAAAATAAGTATGTAGTTAAATACATGAGGTAAAAAAATAACTAAAATGTGAGGAACAACAGGAAGTCAGCTAACCCTGCAATCCGTTTCTAAGCATGTTTAACTGGGGAAAAAGTTCCACTGGGCCATGCTTTCTTATAAGTGTGCTTCAGAATGCAATTTTAGTAACTGATCAATGGCATTGAATAGCATTCTTATTTCTTCACCAGCAAAGAGTGTGTGGTGGAGGGAATGACGTATGCCCCGTACGGGGTCCTTGTCAGAAGAGCCAGGCTGTGTGGTGCCATTGATGGAGGGCAGTTCTCACCCTCCTTGGGGTGAAGCCTGCTCACTTTTTCCTCACATCCACACACAAGATTCTGATTTTTGGTTACTGGAGATGCCTGCAGAAGTGGAAGATACTTTTATTTGCTTGGACTTGGAGAGCCCACTGCGACATTGAGAAACAAGAGTCACTGTTCAAGGATCTGAAATAACCTTTCAACTTAGCTGATTTGCTGTCCGGCAGGAGTCGCAGAATTGATCACTGCCTTTGATACAATGGAGTGGTGTTTTGCTACCTTCTGTTTGTATCAGTTCTTTGTAGCAAGCATTGATAAAGAATTGATACATAAATACATGTATCGATGCATAAAGAATTGATACACATTGCAATGAATTTGGAGTGTAATGAATGTTTTCAAAAGTTCTGTGAGGAGGTATGGTAGACAGTAAAGAGCTGACATTCTATTAAGCTTACGTAATGGCAATTTTAGATAACCAGGTTAATGAAAAGAAACTAAGGAGGGAAGACTCGGAATGTATGTAAAGAAGCAACGTGAGAATGAACAACTGTCTCCAGGCTATTAAAAACAATCTGCAGAGTGTGTATGCTTGTGCGTATATGTATGTACTCCATGCTCTTGAGTGCCAAATCTAGTCTTCAGAGCATACACAAAGAACCTCAGAGGCATAGCTGAGCAGAAGGAAGAATTTACTTTAACTACACACAGGTTGCCTTGCATTCTAGAACTTCACTGAGAAATCTAATTCTTGTCTAGAGAAATTTAGCTCATCCTCCTTCCAAGCTTGTGGGGGTGGGTTGTGCTCCCTCTTTGTGGCAGAATTTATGAACAGGCAAGCTAAAGCAGCAGGCAACTAACGGAGCATCACTTAGCAATTTTGGGGCTGGTGCACTTAATGCAGTTACCACAAGGAGAACACTTTATATTCAGCTGGTATATGCTAAGTTGTTGTGTCACAGGACCTTGAAATGGAATGTAAAGTTTTCTGTCTGCTACTGTTGTTGTCCACTTGGGATATCATGAAGAAAATCACCTACCCTTTGGGATGGGCTGCTCAATATGAACAATTTGACACATGAGCCAATTTATGGCAGCCTCATGTGATTCTCTCACCACTGCCACCCACTTAAAAAACCCCAAACTTCCATTAATCACACAATCACTTTGTTTGTTTCAGTGTGGAATGTTCAGAATTGCTTGAATTCCTAACATGTTTGTTGGCTCAAGTGGATTTTTGGGGGGAAAACTTGGAAAACTGAATTGCGCCTTTAGACATGTTTGCATGATACTTTTGTAAACCATGCAGCTGCTGTCACACTCTTACGGGGGCAAGGACCACACATTGACCCGTGAGCTACTCTTTGTGGAATGCATCTGTGTGAAGACCACTGGTATAACAGGCTGTGTCTGCTGCTGTGAACTGGCACAGACTTGATGAGATCCCCATTGGTTGGACAACATTCTGGAGAAAATTCAGTGTCTCCAGGAAAGGCCTCCGTTTCTCAGTCTTGACCACCATGCACTGGGTATGATAAATAACCTTGTGGGCTACCCTAAGGGAACCGCACATTTTCAGGGCAATCCTGTTACTTGCTGCTTTGTAGCTGAGGCTGTACAACTACCACCGGGTACATTAGAGAAGAAATCCATCAAAATGACTGGCGACTCTGAAGTGCATACTGCAAAATTGCTCCATTATAAATTCTTCTCCATATGGGGTTTCAGAACCCATAAATTGTTTTTGGAAATATATGAATTGTACCATAATTGGATAAGATTCTCCTAGAAATGATTTTAAAGGAGAAGCGTCTTTTTCCTGTTTCGCTTGCACTAAAATATTTTTGTTCTTCTCCTAGACTGATGGCATTACCATGGAAACCATTGTGAGACGAGCAGGCTTTCCAGCTGGTATCTCCATAACTGTGTGGCGCTTTTGGAAGCAGAGCCCATCTCCAGCCAGCTCTGCTCACTTCCACCAGCACAGACACGGACACGCATCACTGGAATGATTTTTCATCGAGTGATGGCTGAGTCTACAGTTGTGCTAATCCGAATGAACTTTTGTCATAGATGAGTTTTGATGACGGAGGTTTCTCCCCCCACCCCCAGCATCTCTATCTGGGAGACAATGTGAACGCTGGCGTAGTGCTCCTCTACACTTTCCCCATCAGTTTCTGTTTTGAGAAGTCACTTGGTGTCCGAGAATCTACCTAATGGGTTTCGCTTTTCTAGTACTTGAAGTGATAGCTTAAATGTTTTATAGATGGTTTAGAATTCCTTTTTTTCCTTTTTGGCAATTATGACCCATTTTGAGGGGATGGGAACAACAGGCTCTGGCTATGATCCTATATGTACTTATGTGTAAAAAAGTCTCAGTGAAATCAGTGGGCCACCTTTTCAAGATTAGAGGCCTGCAGCCAACCGTTTGGACAGCAAAATCCCAACGTACGCAGCCCTTCCCACCCCCCTGCAGCCTAAGTAGACCATGGGAGAACATCCCTCCTCCTCCTGCCCCCCCCCCCCACGCATGCTCTTCCTACCGCCTGTCTTGTTCCTCTTGGCATGCATCGTCAGAGGCGCTTGTGACCTTGGCCTGCCTCAAGCTCCAGGCAGGAGAGGAACCACCACCTCTCTACCTTCTTGTCTCCACCCCGGTCCTCACCCTTTGCGACTGCATTTTGCAGCGGAGCCCATCCTTGCATTGCTTGTTCTTCCACCAGTCATGTTGGAAGCAGCTGCTGCTAGAGCACATGGCAAAGGCATCTGTGGTTGGTGAGGACCAGAGACACTGGGGAAGGGGGGGGGGTGCTGCCTGGCTTCTTGCCATCCTTCCTTCTTGGGCGGGGGGTGGGCAAGCGAAGGTCATGATCCTGTACATAGCTACATGAGAGCAAGCACTGTTCGGCTTACTGGGATTTACTCACAGGTTGTGGTGCATAGGACTGGGCTGTAACCAAGTGTCTGTCTTTTTCTCGTCCCTGGCTCCCTCTTCCTGAGCTGCTGCACGTGCAAGTTGTGGTAAGACTTCACAGCCACAAGAGCAATACGCTGTAAGGAAGAGAAGTGGTACTGAAGTGAGACCTCTCTCTGTTTTGATTTGTTTTGTTTGATTTCACGTTATGGTACAAAGAGAGTTGTGGATCCTGTATCATCTTTTTTATAGTTCTATGTTCTCTTAAATGTAAGACAGTTGAGAATATCTGGAATATAAAGGTAGAACTGAAGAATTGGATATATCTTGATTATAGTTTTAAAAAATTATTTTACATCTCCCTGTATAGTTACTTCTATTGATTTATACATTTTGGATAAGTGGGGAGTTGATTTTTTATAAGTTCAAATGGAAAAACGCAGACTCTGCAACTGTATATTATCCTTGCAGTACAATGTTGATGTGCTGTAGAGCTTTTATAGAGAGAATCCCTTAATCTTGACCTTGGTAAAAGATCCCTTTTATTTGGAGCCACTTTTTTTTCAAACTTAGGAAAAGCATTACTAATACTGTCCTATAATTATGCCTAATGTGGGGGAAAAATGACATTTTCTTACTAGGGGTATTGTTTAAAATTGGAAATTGAAAATTGTAGTCAGAAGCCAGGTGCCTCACTTCGTAGGCTTATGTCATTAAAGAGCATGACACTAGTTATTGGTATCGACACTAGTTGTCGGTACATATAGTATATACTAATAATTAGAAGCACTGATAACTGAAAGGGTTGAAAGCAGTACACAAATCCTCAGGCACCATCCAGCTGGTATTCCTCTACATTGTATATTGTGCGAGTATTGAGTAAGGGTTGCCTCAGCTTGTGACATCAGACCTTTTCAAAGTACTAGACTGGTTTGTATAACCAATTAGACCCTGCTGTCAGTTTTGATGTTCATTACTATGTACTAGAACCTATTTTGGTTAGACTTAATATACACGTCACACAACGATATAGGTAACTTTTGGCAAATACAGTTGGTATCCATAAGTTTACGTGGAGCCCAGTAATCCGAAAGAAAAAAAAAGTGTATATGCTGCAGGGTTTAAAAGCACAGATGAGTTTCTGAATCTAGAAAAGCCGGGTTTTCAAGAGTACAGTTAACTAGTTGCTGCTAAACAGATTTTAACTCAAGAACATGACCACTTTTCTAGACCACAACGCTGTCTTGCCATGTACGTTTTGTTTGGACTCTGTAAATTAACAATGCAATAGGTACTGCCTTTTAAAAAAAAAAAAAAAAGGTTTACATCTTTTTATTTAAAAATTAAATTTGGTGATAGTTCAAAAGATTAATTATGAAAAAGGTTTGACAAATGTTACATTCTTTACATATTAGATCCTGAGGCTGCCCATGGTACAATATACAGCACTGATTTTACAAATGCTGAATGAATAAAACAAATGGGTAACCTCAACTCTACTGGTACAAATACTAACAGGTACAGCATAATAAATATGCAATCTTTTTTGTCTTAGTTTACAGCAACTAACTTATTCAGTATTGTGCTGGAAGACCATTTTCCAACTATGTAAAACATATCACTATGTGGGCAACCTTCCAGCCACCCGTTTTATGCTGCTGTATAAGTACAGAGAAACCAATGATGGAACAATGTTTGTCCTGTAAATTTTAATTTGATATTGGACAGTTATTGTCTGTACAAACTAAAACATATATGGTTGAAACTGTTCATTATATTTGCTATTTCTGCTTCACTGATCTGTTTAAAAGTTTGAGCTGATTGATCCGGCTGTGTCTTCCATTGTAAATATTGTTACATTGTTTTTCATGGTAAAATGCAGCACATTTGCAATTTTGGGAGACTGGCTTGAAGCGCTGTATAGTGTTTATATTTATCTGAATTGGCTTTCCATAGAGCTACTTGCAGTAAATGTGTTCATGGTAGTATTGCATGGTCGAGTCTTTATTTACAATTGCTTGCTGAAATAGTGCCTTACGCATACAGATGTGGCTTCCACAGGTCTCCGACAGTAAAAACCTCCCCGAAAATGTGCAGGTTTAATGGTTGAGAAATAAATGGGCCTGCTCCATTACTGCAGGTGGGCTAATTTCCCCTCTTATTTCCCAGCCTTTTAATCTGTGTATTGTCCCAGTCCAAAAATATTTCTATTTTTTTTTTTAAAAACGGGTCACCACCAGCTCCATTCACTGTGTTTCATTCAGCCCACCTCCTTGGATCTGCCAGGACCCACAGTAACCACAGCAGTAAGTGCTCTGACAAGGAACAGCAGAAAGCCCTTTTAACTTTTCTCTCTGGAGCAGCTGTGCTCCAGAAAGAAAAGACTTGGGAGTCTGGAAAGGTGGAGACCACCCTCAGCTCGTTTCTCAAAAATAACAGGGTCCCACTTGCAAGAGGTGCACCCACTCTTCCTTTCAGCTGGCAACTGGCCCTTGGCAACTGTGTGCAAATTAACCTGTAGGTGCCCTCACGTCATCAATTGCCACCTACTGTGCTTCAGAGCTCCATCTGACATGGTGGTTAAAGGTTATTGATGGATCACACCTTGGACAGCCATAATACTGCACTTCTGAAAGACCAGGACAACACATTTGCACACTTCCTTGGGCCTGAAAGAAATGCGACCTCGATGGTGCATTTTTGAGGTTCTAATTTTTTTAAGGAGTAGTTGAAAAGGAAGAGGGAGAGGTAGACAAGTTGTGAAGGGCCCTGGGATACTGGCTGGAGGGGTAAAGGGAGGAAGAAGCTGTGTTGAGCTTGATTATCCACTAGGTGCACTGTGGGTTTTTCCACGAGCAACCCACACCATGTAGTTCATTTGCCAAGTGTCTTAGTTCACTTCATAGAAATCTTCCCAGATTCCTTACTCTTTCTTCTGTGAAGACATTCAGTTATCCGGTACAGTAGAGTCACCTGAAGGCTGACATTGCTGATGGGCAGGAAAAAAAGCCTCGTCCCTTCACTCAAATAGCTAATTCTGCTTGATAAACCCCCGTGTGTCAGGGTGGGTCATACAGGCTTTCAAGCAGAGCTGGGCACACCTAAGAGCATCGAAGTCCACAGACTTGTGTCCAACTTTGCCGTGGGACAACATCTGGCACCCTATTTCAAGTCAGTGTATCAAGTAAACACAGGATCAAGCAAAGATCCGGTACTAGGTGACCTCATTTCTGATGATCGCCAGTGTGTGAGAGGAATCCCTGCAGAGTTGCTCTTAAAGAAGGTGCTTCAAATGGGAACTGGGTGAGGGAAAGGAGCTGTTTTCAAACTATCAAAAAATAATTTTGGAAAGAACTTGGGGTTGAATCTGCTCCCTTTTGCAAAAAAAAATAAAGCAAGCTATTCCCATGCACTTCACAAGTTTAGAAGTCACCCCCATTGAATTATCTATGCAGATGCTAACTTTTTCTTTAGGAATAGCTCAGCATGATAAATGATCAACAGTTAAGATGTGGCCAAAACTATGTAACATGTTGTACACCTGGTGGCAGTATTTTTATTTTAAATCTGGCTACTTAACTACACATAGGCAGTAGAAGTAATGCGTGTTTTGATAACGACTCCTAAATAGTCCTTTAAGTGTTCAAAGCCTGTCAACATATATTATCTTAATCCTTATGACAACTCTGTATAGTGTGTCATAATGATCATTCTAGTATTACAGATTGGGGGCTGAAGTTCAGAGAAAGCTGCCTGCCGTACTTGTTGAGTGTATAGCTGAAGAGCTTTACGCCAGGAAGCAGTGTGCAAGATCCTTGCAAGTGAGGAAAGTTTAGGAAACAGAGCATATTTTGTGTGGAGAGACTTTTGGGTCTACTTGTTTGGACGACTCTTGGACATCGTGGTGATTCTTGTCTTCCAGGCTGGCTAAAGGTTGATTCCTAGGAAAGGTTTTGTCCTGTAGCATTTCAGGCTCGTTTTAAGAGAGTTTTGTAGCACTGGTGGAGGGGCCTGCTCCCCTCCCTTCAAGGTGAGAGTAGAGCATTTTGTCCCTGTACTTTCGCCTCTCATACAACGCATACTTTCAGTACATTTAAGAGGGGCAGTTGGCAGTCTTGCTGAAATGAATAAAAGCAAGATCACTCGCTCTTCCTAAATGTATTTGCTGTCTTTTCCCATACAGCTCCTGGACACAGACATTTGCAACACGCCACCAAAGTTACTAATAGACCTCCTCCTACGTTTAGCCTAGCGTAGAAAAGGCCAGTCTGTGCGTGCTGGATCACACTGGCCCATTGCACACACATTAAAGGTGCCTTTTGAGGCATGAACTTGATTTAAGGTGGTTCAGAATTTGAACAAGAGATGCTGCAGGGTTTTCCCCCCTTTCCTAAAAAGAAACTGCTCTCCCTTGATGAAATACACAAGCCCTCTTTCTCTAAAGATTAAAATCATAACCAGCGGCAAAGGCACTCAGGGTTCTGCATGCTTTGTGGATGAAGCCGTTTACTCTGGCCGGCTCCCCTTTCCCTGGGCCTCATGTTATAGCAGGCAGCATATGTTAAGAAGAAAAGAAAACAGGGCCTGCTACATGGCAGAAAGTCATACCAGCAGTAAATAAACAAGGCGCATTATCCAAACACGGTCAGGGCTATTGCAACATTTTTGAACAAAATAACTGCTAAACAGGCCGCTGCTGTGAAAGGGCTCATTGGATCTGAACTATGGTAAATGCTGATGCCTGTGACTTGGCTCTGAGTTCAGCGGCTCTGTTGAGCCAGTAGGCAAAACCGTTGGCACTGAAACGCCCCCAAGGCCCTCCGTCTTTCAGGATTGATCAACAACCTAACTCCAGCAGCAGGACACTTACGCTACCCTGCCCCCAGCCGGGAAACTCTCCCTCTTCGAGTTCGTTCTGGAAAAGCTTGAATTTATCTGTCCGTTGCAGGGAAGGGAAGAAGTGAGTTTGCACTTGCTGTTCTGCAGAACCTGGGCCTGCCTCCGGAGCTGAGCACGGGCCCTCCGGAAAAAGTTCAGGAATCCTGCATGTTTCTTTCTGAAAGCGAAAGTATTTCGCTTGCCCCATTACTCCATTGTGCACCTGGTTTGAAGAGGGCAAGGGTGAGGCCTGATCCATGCTTCTACATTTTCTCCAGCTGGGGGGAACTCTTCACTTCCTCTAGCCCTGGAAAAATCACTGGCTTTATTTTGTCTTTTGGAAAGAGATCGGGATACCTTTTTAAAACAGCAGTATGCCGCGAGCTGAGCTTCCTCCTTCGGGCAGGCAAACGCCACGGACCGTTTTCTCTATTGCTCCCTACCCAGAATGGACCTCTGAGCATACACAGCAGTTTGTTGGACCCAGTCTAGTATTCTCCTGCAGGAACTTTCCTTATGGACATGCCTGGAACCCATCCTCTAAGGAGCGTCTTACTTTAAGCAACGCACCTCACACACTGCTCATTCAGCTGGACCTTCCACCTCTCCTGACAGCTTGTCCCAGGCTCAAGAGCAGGGTCAGGGGCTGGTGTGCTTCTGAGGATTCCTCAACCTCAGGGACCCCTCCCACTGGCCGTCCATCTCGGATGTTCCCAGGAACTGCCTGGCCCGGCACAGCATCTGGCCTTGAGATAATCGCCTCCTCCTCCTTCATCTCAGAATCTTGACTGAGCCCTTCCTCCACAATTTCACTGTATTCTATTTCATGTTCCAATTCTGAAAAATCGTCAGGGAGACAGCCAGAAGTCCATGAGAATGATTGCCCAAAACAGCCAACTTTCTCACTCCCAACACAGCACAAATATCCCTGGTAAAGAGCCATTCAGGTTTCCCATGATCTCTAGGAGTTAAATACACAAGGCTAAGCTACACAGTTCACACCAGCATTACTGCAAAATCCTGATAGATGCTTCTAGGCAAAGCAAAAGCAAGAGGGTAATTTGCTACAGAAAAATGGCAAGCACGGAAGACATGCTTAATGCCTACTTCCCTCCTTCTCAGTTCACCACTGCTTCCCTACCACCTTCAGATGCAAGCTTTCAAAAGCTTCTCTTACACCCATCAGCACATAGCTCTTAAAAATGTATATTTTCCCATTAAAAAGTGTCATCTTTCTGCCCAATGATTTCAAGACGGTATATAAAGAGGTAAGTGGAATTAAAGAACAATTAAAAACTGGCCCCAACAACCGCAAGTAATGGCACAATTAAAAACCAGTGTTTAAAACAATTAAAAGACTAAAAAAGCTTTTCAATTTTTAAAAAAGATCTATGTTTGCCACCTAAAGGCCCTACCTCTTTCTAGGAGACTTTCTGCAGTTGGGATGGCACTACTGGGAAAAAAGAGCTTGTGCATTCATGTAAACTGCTGTCCCAGGGTCCTTGGACAATAAATAGGACACCGTCTTGCACTTCTTTGATGAGCAATAGTTCTCCATGCTCTTGGGCAGAAGAGAGCTTTCCCAGGACTTGTTACTGCGGTCTTGTAACTAGTGATGGCAGGAACTGAACCCCGGGGACTCACACATGCAAAACAGGCTGCTGGACTGAGCCATGGTTCCTCTCCAAATGGCGAGTCCCTGGAAAACTTTCTGGCTTCTGTGGCAAATCTGGAAAATTTCCCCTAGAGATCAAAGGTTCGAATGCTTGTGCATGGCTATGAAGTAGCTGGGCAAACTGGCCCAGTCTCTTGACTAGAGGCGACCATTCTCCTTGCATTCTGCTTTGTCTAATAGCACAGCTAAACCCTTTCATGGTTGCTGCACAGTATAAAAAAGGTGCAGAAACTTCTTTTGCTTTACATGCTGTAGCCGAGAGAGCAAAAGTGGGGTGCCTATTGGAAGGACACAGCCACATCAAAGCCATCAAAAGTGTCATGGGTTCTATTTTAAATCTAGAGACAAATCCCATTAAATTAGTGGCTCCCTTAATACACAATGCAACATCTTGAGACTTCAGTGTTTGAAAAGTTCTGATTTGCTTTGAAA